TAACAAATCTTTGACACTATCCTTTAATCCATATCAAAATTGATTGATGAGTGCTTTGTCATTCCAATCCATATCACAAGCAAGGTTTTAAAATTCAACAGCATATATAGTGGCTGATTGTGATCCTTGCCGTAAAGATAAGAGTTTGGTCTCTGCTATTCATTCTTGATCACTTTCTCCAAATATCGCCATAAATACTTTTAGGAATGAATTCAAATCATAAAGGAGTCACAAATCTTTTTCAATTAAAGGAGCAAATCAAGAAAGAATACTACCTAATAGAAGTGCACCTATAAATCTAACTTGAGAAAATCCATCAAGATATTGAAAAGAGTACAATGTTAGATAGAGCTTGACTTGTTGTAAAAATCCTCGAACTTTTGAACTTGTTCCATCAAACTTCTTAGGCATACTAATCCTTATCCTCATCATATTTGTAGAAGCAAAACTTCCTAGATTTGGTTGTGAAATCGATCTACTTCTTTCAATTATACAACTTCTTACCATAGACTCTGAACTTCTCCCATATGTCTAGGCGCAATACCTCCATGATTCACGTTAGAAATACGTGAGATTTTTACTCTAAGAGTATTGACAAGCTTATAAAGATCTACAATAGTTGCAAATCTATTCTCACTTTTGCTAAGTGTAGCATCCATAATCTTTTCTTCCATAGGCAATTCAAACAAATTCAAAAAATTAAATTAGAGAAGGGTAATCTGTAACCTTTAATAAAAATTTCCACAAAGAGAGGTAATCCACTCTCTTTAAAGAAAGATCAATGTTAGAAAACAAGATTTTTTTCAATTTAAAAGGTAAGTAGTCCACAACCTTCAAAACACAACAATAGAAGTGGGGTAATCCACTCACTTCTAAAACAAGACAAAAACAGTATACTAGCACTATTGTCAAACTATCACGGACATGAATTTCAAAGAAAGAGAATCTTCAATAAACTCTTGTGTCACTGAAGAGAACTAGACAGTCATTCAAAAGATAATATAATATTAACTATAATGGCTATTGCCAAAAACAAGAAGACTAAAAAGTCTTGAAACAAGACTAAAGACTAGAACGGCATTGACAAGAGTGAAGAAGGCTTCATTTTTGCCTCTATATATACTCTCAATTAGGAGCTATGTGGTGATGTCTTAAAGGACCTCCAAGACATGTTGACTTTGCTAGCCACATATCTTAACTTGCAACACAAGTTATTTATGTATGCGCCACATGGTTAGCTTGTTCCACAAGCTATTATGCAGAGTTAACTTGTTCCACAAGCTACCAACATGTGGTTAACTTGTTGGCCAAGTTTGTGACCTACAAATACATCTAAAGTCAAAATTACATTTATGAAGCTTTTAAGAAGCTTCACTAAAAGAGTTTATGAAATTAATCTATATTTACCTATTTCTACCTAATCATATAAGTAATTATTGAAGTAAATATAAATGTGTTGATAAGTTTAAGAAAGAAAAATTAATAAGATTGATGATCATTTTGATAATGCTTTGTATATTAGCTATTAAAAGATTATTATGGATTTGTCAAAAAAATATTTTTTATAAATTAGACCATAAAAAAATTATTTAGATCTTTTTAAAAATCCTTTAAAAAATAAAAAATAAATATTATTCTATTTTTAGAAAAATATCAAGTCAATTATAAATCAATTATAATTTATGCCATTTTATTCCATAACAAATAATCTTTTCAAATATAGTTTGAAATTATGAATAAATCAATAAAATTTTCAATACACCATTTTATAAAATGAATATATAGAAGTTTTTATAAATTTAGTATTTCAGATATTGAAGAAAAAACATCAAAACCAAAAACAAATTAGAAAGTGGTATGAAGGAAGAAAAATTTATATTAAAATAAGTTTTGGTTCAAATAAGCTTTAATTTATTAATTAATATAGAAAAATATTAGCTCCTTAAATTACATGCAAATCCAAAATTAATACATTACAAAAAAATAAAACAACATATTTATAGGCATTTCAAAATTTATATGGATATTTAAATAAAATAAATAATTAAAACCAATGCCCAAAATAAATAAATCTTTATTATTAATAATAAATTATAGATATAATATTTTAAGATATAAGAGTTTTTATATATGATTGATATTTAATTAATATTTAAATAATTATTTTAATATCAAAATTTAAATAAACTCTATAAAATATTTTTTAATAAGTAAATTGAATTAAAAATATTTTTAAAATATTAGCCATAAAAATTTCAAAGTTTGATATAAGTTTGATCTTTAAATATGAAAACTTTATAATATCAAGATATCAAGTTTAAAATGCAAACTTTAATTTCAACTACTTGTATAAATTTAACTGAAGATAAAATGTCAACGACAAGGATAAAGATGTGAAATTGCATGAATAATTTATAGAAACAAACTTATCCAAAATTCAAGCAATGGTGATAGTGTTGTGAATTGTGTTATTGTAGGTAGTTTGATATTAATTTTGGAAAAAAAACACCTATATATTTGGTTTGAGATTTTGGACATGGTACGATTTGATTGTAAAAAGTGTGGTGGTTGTTAGAACAAAAATGTGAAAATGGGTTTAAACAAACTAGCTTAAAAGTTTGTATTAAGAAAAAAATATATATTTACAAGATATCAAAAGGATATCAATTAGAATATTTTTAAAAACCAAATTTAAGATATTCATTTGGACATGCCAAAGAATATTTTATAGACATCACATCCAAAAGATTGGTGGAAATTGATGTTGGATGTTAAATAAATAATAGATTTTGGATATCAATGGAATATATCAACATAGAAATTGTGGCAATGTACACTAAGATAAAGAAAATCAAAGATTGTCAAAAAAAGAAACTTTCTATATAAAGCATCTTTTATAAAACTTCATTTTTTCTTATCTTAGCTATTGTGTTTTAAAGTTTTGTATTATAAAAACTATTTCAAAGCTTTGCTCTAATACCATATTAGAACTAGATAAATCTAAGAGTTATAGAAACCATATAAATTAATTAATAAAAATATGGTATGTACATTGTTTATCCTATCAAAGAAGAAGCGATTGAAAAGGTCATGCCTCCTTGACAAGGTGTGATGTTCCACTTTGTTTTGACTATTATAGGTGACTTGGTTATTTCTAATCTCGATTCCAATATAAAGCTCTAAAGTGGTTTTCTACATTTTAAGCAAGTGTTGGTGGTTACAAATGTTAGCCACAACAATATATTAGCAAAATGTAAGCAAGATGAAACATGTGAAAAACAAAAAAGAAATTTAAAAGAACTAAAGCAACAATAAAAGAAGAATGTGCAAATCCAAATGCCAACAAAATCGAAACCAATTTATTTATGTAGTAATGGGAATTAAAAGACATATAGAAAATTAAAAATTATAATTATATATATATATATATATATATATATATATATAAATAATAGAAGAATATAAAAAAAAGAAAAAAAAGAAAACAAAGTAAATGAGTATGTATTGGTGTTTGTGTGTATATGTGTGTGTGTATGTTCATGCATGCATATGTGCATGACAAGAAGAATTCAAGTTTTGCACAAGTTAATTTCACTTGCTCCTTTTATAATCTTTAGATTGCAACCACAAATCCTATGTTTACTTGAAGAGATTCATTTTACAACAACATGATTCAACAGTGGTGTCGTCTATTGTAATCCCAACTAATCCCTGCTATACTTGGCATTGCATCAAAACTTGGAGTCACGAGTGAAAAAAAACAAATACGAAATAAAATAGATAAAATTAGCAACTCGTACATTCATATTCTCATACACATATATGTCCTTATTTATGTATGTGTATAGTGTAAACAAACAAATACACACACCCACATACACCAATAGGAAATTCCTCAAACAAAATGCAAGCCATAACCTTCACAACATCCTACTTGTTCACATTTTTTCCAAAACAAAAGTAAAGAGAAAGAAAAGTACCACAGAAAAAGAGAAGGTGTGCTGGCCCCACAAATCAAAAAGAGAGAAAATAAATAATAATAATAATAATAATAACACAAACACACACAGGCAAAGTGAGAAAAAAGTGAGTGGCGTCAGCAGATTCGTGAAGACCCGCCCGGGAAGCCTGCGTGACTGACGTCGCAAGGCTCTGAAGATGGTGCCGACGATGAACCGCTGGAAAATTCGAACAGAAGTTGCACAGAGCGGCTTCAACTGGAACCTAAAAGTCCCCACAAGATCAACTCACAACAGTCCCAGCATGCGACAGTTTCTCATGTGACACCCAGTGCGGCAGCAACAAAAGCATGTGCAAGCAGGTCAAACCAGAAGAGCTGGTGCGTGAAATGTGGAGCCACAAAAGCTTGGAAGTCTATTGTGTTACGAAACTGGGTGCCTATCTGGACGTGACCGGGGTGAAGGTGAAGAGGAGAGGAGGCAGCATGCTGAATTGCAGCAGTGGCTGATTGGGGGAAGCTCACCCAAAGGCGGGACAGCGTGCGTGTGCATAGCGCGCGCCAGCAACATGGTCATTGCGACGACGGGTGCCACTCAGGCGCGGTGCGAAAATGTGGACGGCACAGTCTCTGTCGGAATGCCCAAGCGGGTGGTGGGAAGAGGGAGAGGGAGAGAGAGAGAGAGAGGGAGCGGGCAGAGGGCAGAGAACACGTGGGAAGGGAGGTAGAGAGAAAGAGGGGGGGAGACGGGGGCAGGAGGAGAGGCGGCACGGCAGGCTGGAGCGCGGGCGGCTTGCACCACACAGGTAGCGAGTGGACGAGGCGAGGATATGTGGGTGGGGTGGTGCCGGGTCTGGCACGACTACACTTGAACAGGATCTGTTCTATAGTGTGTACATCTGATCTGTTTTCTCCAACGCAGACAAGACCATCAACCCAGACGATGATCCAGTGCTCTCCGGCCTTAGCGCGACTGCCGCGGGTGTCGCCCTGTGTGGGGCCCTTCGCGGCCTGTGTGGAGGCGGCATCCTCCTAGATGATGTGAAATAAAAGTGATCGTTCAATTCGCACTCTGATAGTGGGTGTATTAATTTGCCTAGATTAACCCGTGTCCAGGTTTCAACGTCATCTTCCTTGCTGCAGTATGTTACACTCGAACTTCTCCGAGATTGATTCGAGCGCGGTGAATCACACCGTCGAATCGTTGTGGTGAAATCTTTGTAAGCTACGGCTATCTATCCAGACTAGACTGAATATCGTCGAACTAGTTACTTGAGTTGTTATTATTCGAATTTTTTGCTCTCTGCGAGGCGTCAGCCTTAAGCCGCGCCACAGTATCGCTGAGCTCCTGCACCTTTCGCTGGAGCGATTTCACGTATTCCACGGTCTCGTCAAGCATGTCGGAGGTGTTAGTCTGCTTGTCCATGTTAGGCACTAGGTCCTGGAGCCGCTTCATGCGTTCGCTGATCTTGGTTCTGCGGACGCGCTCTGCAATGCTGCGGGGATGCGTGGCGCAGCCTCTCTTCGCACGAGTGCGCATGGGGACGGCGCCGTAGTGGTTATCCTCCAGGCCGGGGCTGTTGGGACCGCCGTTTGTTGAGGGCAGGCTCATGTGACGAACTAGGCCGCTGTGTTGGCAGTTGCGGTAGGTTGATCCCTCTGCTGAGCCACTTGATGTTTCGCTATCGCCGTCTAGACCCCGTTGCCTCTTGGCTGTCAAGATTAGTAAACATTGATGAGAATGTGTGAAGAAAATTGTATAAAAGTAATTAAGTTACATCAATTTAGACCTATAGAATCTTTGGAACCATATGAAGAATGTGGACGCACGCTGCGATTCTTACCTGGACTTGTAGGCGACTTCCAGGTAAAATCTTCTTGAGTGTATATCAATGCTGTGTAACCGTTGATGAGGTGGTTGTTATCGTCTGAATCACGAGAGCTGCTCTTGCCTGAACCGTTTTCAGCCATCCTATCTTGCACCGCTGAGTTCAGCTGCGACAAGCCAGCCGACGGTAAGCTGGTTTGACTGAATAACCCATTCTTGGAGCTTTTACTGGTTGACCCGAATGAATCAGGAGTCCCCACTTCTTTTCGAAGAGAAGGAAACGCAGCTTGGCCACTGAAATCGTTCTCTGGTGCCAGGTAATGTTCGAACTCGTTCGGGTTGGAGTTTCCACTGCCCATACGTTCAACATCCATGTTCTCCGTAATAGAATTGAGTCCATCGCCAGTGAACATAGAAGACATGACGGTGTTGCCAATCTGTTCCTCATTCGTATCCGCCAAAACCGAGTTTGCAGGAGCTGAATGGTAATGGTGCAGCACGGGCATAGACAAAGTCATCGAAGATGGTACGGAATTTTCGTAGACAACGCCGTAGTTGGAGCCATTGCGCAGAATACTTGCGTCCAACACTTCACTCCTGGATTCCAAAACATATTTATCTTCCATATTGAAAGCAGGGCGACTCTGCGGAGGAGATCCTCTGTGCTGGGGAGGGGACCCAACATGTGTAGGCCCGTCGCGTAATCCTCCCCCTGGCATGCTTGTAGACCGCTGCATCTGCGAAACGGGTCGAGAATGGTTACCTACGTAACCACCTTGATTGTACAAATTGTAAGGAAAATGATCGAGTCCAGCCGTCACAGCAGGGGCCATCACCCCAGCGAGAGACCCTTGCCCAATGCAAGAATGATGGCCACTCTGCAGCATCGCGGAGATTTCTTCATCCACAGCCCCCATTCCTGATTCAACCAACGTAAGAAGATCAGACACTTTGACCACTAATATGCCCAGGTTTAAAAAATTAATTAACCGACTAAAATTCAATCTAAAACATTTTCCTTAGAAGTGTCTTCGATGGTACTGGAGAGGAAGAGTGAGAGAGAAAGAATAAGTAACCACCTTTCGAACTCACCTTTCCTGGTTAAATGAAAGAGAATAATAGATTCTATAGTCCCCTCACCACTCTACCCCATGCCTTCTGGGTGCCAATTATCTCTGCCCTGCACCAAATTGTAAAGCCCAAATTTAAACGATGCCTTCTAAGTCTCTTCAAAGGTTTTCTCACCGGCTACGGTTCAAGAAATCCCCGATTTGGAAACCAAGAGGGTTCGACAAAAACAACGAATTTCCACACTGCAGCTCACCCATACTTATCGATAGCTTCTCTACATAATGTTTGAGGATCTGAGCAAAATGGGGTAGTAGACTGTAGGGATCAAAAAGTGATGTAGCTGCAGAAACTGCGTTAGAATGATAAATCTGGCACAAAGATTCAACTGACGATCGCAGGAAGAGATGAACAAAGCATTTCGGAAGTTAAATTTACCTGAAGGATAATACGCATGAGAGATGCCACGGTGACTTTGCATGATAGCACTCACAGATCCATCCATAATAGCCACGGCTTGACCACACATTCTAGACAATCCTTGAACTCTGAATCACTTCTCAAACATGCGCACAAACTGGGATGACTTTCTATGTTGCGTTACTCAGCAATAAATTCACCTGCACGCCCTTTCCCAAGACCATTCAGAATCCCCGAATAGGTGGACTCAAAATCCCTAAAAACAATTTGCATCCAAACGTTTCAAATTCGAACCCGCACCGAACAACGTGCGCACTCTGAACTGCAGGACTTAAACTTGCAGAGATTTGGATGTAGAAGAGGACCCCAGATCGTCATAAAAACACGGACAATATTCAGACCAAGCACTTCGACACCGTTGCTGTCGGAAGGAAAATTTTCGGTGATATTTTATGACCAAGTTAAAGTCATCGAAATCCTAATCAATATTTTACCACGAAGGCAACTAGGATCTGGCATCGCCGTCGCGACCTACAAAACCGAAAAGAATACTCTACGTGAGCTTAGAGTGCACGTGTCTTAACTGAAGTTCCATCGAACATCCATACACTGCTAGATGGGACAACCAATGAATGCTCTCATGTTCCAAATCTTTTAGCTGCACTTCCTGCCACTGCAAACTATTTCCAAAAGAATATCTACGAGAATATCTACTGAAATTTCCTGGAATTTTTATTCCCTCCATTGTGCTCATTTGTTCAAATCTCGCGGCTCTTCACTCACATCCTACAACCATTCTACTGCAGCGTCTTCTTCAATCATAACCCTTTCATCGCAAAACTATAGCAGAGTGTTTTATTTCCCTCAAGCGGTGGCGACCGCGGCGTGCAATTCCACGGTTTAGAAAAAACCTTGTTGGCAGACAGGAGAACGAATTTCAATTGCAACGATCTTAATCAATCATTCCATAACGAAAGAAAAGCCAGGTAATAAACGACGACGTTCACAAGTGCGCAGAAACATTGCGGCAGTTCCGTTTAAACCCCTCTCATTTGTCACCTTGTTAGAACTAACTGACGAGTTCCTAATAACCAACCGTGGTTGCAGAGCTGTAAATGACGGCAAGATTCCATCAGACTTCCAAAATCACTCACTGCTCTGCTACGAGCAACTCGATCTACTCCAACGATCCTTGCCACGTTTAAAAAACAACGAACGCCTCTTTCAAAGGAAAGCGGTGCAACAGCACAAACCATGTGCTTCTAAAACTGCGTGCTACACACAAGAGCATCCCTCCAATCTAAGAATCAACTCCCTAGCGCCGACCCTCATCACATTAAAAAATTAAGTTAAATTAAATTCATCGGATCATCACAACATGAATGGAGAAGCCGAATCATACCTTGCGACTCTACAAGTCTTCGCGAGGCTGATCGATCGACCAACCAATCCACAAACAACTAGAGCTTGTTGCTCCCTCACCCAACAACTGTTACTGTCCAATATTCAAGGCTAGAACTAACTAGATTTCACTCGTGCGCAATGCTTCCAAATTCCAACTGGCATCCAAGCTGTATGCTCAGATCATCTCGAAGACCGAGTGAGGGCAGGAATAGGCCGGGACAGGGAGATGTAAAGGCACGGGCGAGAGTCAGAAGTGGGATAGAACAAGATCCTGGCACCGCTAGCTGTGCTCTTGAAGGCAAGTCGGTGCCCAAAGAGGAACTATTATAATATCATCTCTGATACCAGGACGCGTTGTTGGCTGGTCTGGCAACGAGGCGCGGGCACTAAAAACTGGTGGCTGCATCATCATCGGTCCCTTGTCCCAACTCTAGCTATAAATATAGTTCAGGGAAAATGTTTCAAGCGCGGAAAAATAGCTAAGATCTTCTTCCCTATGTTCTCCCTTTTCTCTAGGTTCTACAAATGTGGATAATGTCCCCGAAAATGGAAATTTCTGACGCGAAATGCGTTGCCGCGAAGGCATTCGCAACATGAATCTAGACATAAAGATCTCAAACGCTACAAATCTCAGTTACAAACCCCTTGACCATTCCAAATCCTGCAGAATTAACTAAGCTAGTGTGCTGGGGACCACAGATGACGCATCCCTAATTCTCCGCAGTAACTCGACTTGTACGATGATGTTTCCTCAACGACCCAGGATTTTACCGAAACAGTGCAACATGCCGGAAGAGGCGGAACACTACTTCGGGAAGACATCCAAAACCACGAGCGAATGTGTCTTCTGGATGAATCCTCTTTCATCCGTCACAGGGATCGGGCAGTTGGGGGGGCATCCATGCTGCTGCCCGCTCCCAAGCCGGGGTTCATGTACAGCTTGGAGGTGCACAGCGGATATTTGGAAAACATATATTTCAATATTAAATGTATCTGTAAACTAAAATATCAATATTATATTAAATAAAATCTAATCAGGTTGACTCACTTCAAATTATATCAGATTATAAAATACTGGGAATCGGAATGCATGTATATATATATATATATATATATATATGTAATCAAACGGATATTTTCATGTGCTACATAACCACATATATTTCTATAAATATGTAAAATTTTTACCAAAAACATAAATAGCCCAGAACATACTATCAACAGATTATTTTTAAAAAAATAACACAGGGCAATGCTAAATTCTTAAAGTGTTTTTTCGAAAAATATTAGTGACCCCTAATACAAGAGATCCATAAACACTTGTCTCCTTACAATGTTATATAAAAGACCCGTAAACAATAACAACAATAACAACTGAATTACATGTTGATTGCTCAATCTTTGAAACATGTTTTAATAGCATGCTTTATGTAATCGTGTTTACATTTACTTATTCTATGTTTTAGAATGATTCAATTTAATCTTTTCGATTTTATATTTCCCAAACCATGTACTGGTTTATCTTAAATATAATTGAAATTAATCACACACACATATATATCTATATATATATATATATATAACTTTATTAAATATGTGTTGCTTTAGACAGCGACCAGCGTGTGGCAGCTAGTCGGTTTGGAGCAACGGCCTGGGAGGGCAATCCCGCAGCCGGGCAGCACCAGGGAAGCGACAAAGCGGGCAGGGGTGGAACTGGCACTCGTCATTTTGGATGAACGATGATACGAAAGACATTCATTCATCCATCACGAATGGCGATGGATGGCAACGAATGTCCCACCCAGGGAGGGAGGAAGACGACAAACGGGAGGGGGGGCCAGTTCCCTTGGGAACGAGACTGAGAGTCGGATTCTGATCATCGGCAGGGTTTTGTTCTTCCTTCCCTTCCCCGGCGTTGTTGTGAACAACTCAAATCTCTCATTTTCGCTGCTCCTTCGGCATCGAATTCTCAGGGGCATTTTTCCCGATCATTCCCTTGCTCACTTGCTCGCTCACTCACTCTCTCCCCTCCCCTCTTGCACCTTTCCTTTCATGGCTTTTCTTATTTTGTCTCCCACCAGAAGTGACGTTTCGTCGGCGCGTCGGACGCCGCTCCAGCCTGCCACCACAGTTCCGAGCTCATCACGCGGCGTGGAGAATTCGATCCATCTGATTTTCAGGCGTCCAACCCAGTGTGCGAAATCGTATAATATTTCCGCCCCTGGTTCGACGAGAACTTACATATTTAGTTAAGCAGTGAGAGCTCTTTTCCTTCTGTCTTTTCCCATTTTATTGCGACAGAAGCTGCCCTGCCCCGGGCGGGCAGAAAGTCGGTTCGGGGATGAGGTAATATAAGTCGTGATCGAATCATGGGCAGAGGGGGCTCGCAACCCACTGACAGACGCTAAATGAGAACTTTGTGGGTGATGGGCAAGTCCCATTAATAGCACGTGATTATATCATATCTGTGACAACAGCATGTGGGGCCGCGGTGGACTTCATCCATCTTCCAGTGCATCCGTTTGACTGGAACAGATGGATGAAGGACGTTGGGTGGATGGATGACCAGTCTTCGTCAGTATGGACGTGGATTTCTGTAGATTTTAATAATAATACAAAAGGGGAAATTGTGATTCGGAAATACTTGAAACTGGTATGAAATCAGTATCTTATCTGATCTGGAAGTCTTGAGCTTAAAATTGTCAAAAAGTTGTTCGGAGGGATAGTTTGATGGGAGTTTGCAAATTTTTAGGCCAACATGAATGTACCATGTATCATTAAAATATATCTTTTGGATGTTTTTTTAGTTTTATGTTTATGTTTAAAAACGTAAGGATGTGGACACCTTTGCTGGATTAATTTTTTATACAAATATTGAGGTACAAAAGAGACCCTTTGTCAGGAAGGTGAGTGGAGTTTTGAACTAATAGATGATCCTACGTTAGTGCATGCTAGTTTGCTAAAATTGTTTCACCAATTTGATTTTGCTTTGAGATCTTTTTTTGGATTTGTTCTGCTGTGTTTCCTACAACATGCTTTGCCATAGTTTATTATCCTAAACCAAAGGACTCTTTCTATATTTTGCCTTTTGCCCAACCTAGTTGTCCAATTTTTTTTGTCACTGCATTGTTTTCATATGCCAGAATATTTCCATGTCCTTGAAACAAGAGAGCTTTTTAACCAAAATACATCTATATTATATATATATATATATATATATGCATGTACAACAGTTCATTAATGTGAATATAAATATATACGTATATACTTGCAAATTTTATGTGAGAATTGACTTAGCATGGATAAATCATTCTTGTGGAGGTGGTTTGTATTCAGAGTCATGAACAGTGTCAAAGTGCAAGTTTTCATGCTCACATTTAAATCAGGTGACGTGGATTTTGAAGATACCATTCTGGATGTCAATTATCCTGAGCTTAAATCAAGAAAATAAATTCTACAGTAATTCAAAAAGTTGACTCCAAATTTCAGTACACAGTAGCAATGTTGCTCAAATTCACTCAAGCAAACACACCATTCTCAACGCTTGTGTGTGTCGTACAAAACTTCCACACACACACAAGAATTCAGTATCCCCCAAACAACCTGTGATCAAACAAAATTAAAAACAATACATTTAAACACCTGGCTAATCAACTCATTCTTGTAATTTCATGACAAACCTACAAAATCCCCACTGGGCCTCACCCACTTGTAGACACACAGGGCACTTGTCAATCTCCTCGTTGCTGCACTATTTTGCTCATGTAAGAGGAATTGTAAATACAACGAAAATGGTGTGGCCCCACAGGAGCGTTGGGAGTATAGGATGACATCAGTGGATGAATGATGACGTGGTTCTTCTGTGCATCCAACATGTCCAGATCGGGAATGGGACCATGTCAGCCAGCCACCACGAGTTCAATGAATCTGGAAAGGGAGAGTGGACAATGTGGACATACCCCACAATTTCCACGCTCACTCCCCCACAATGTGGATTTAGGCTGACTAGGATGGATACACAGCTGCTCCAAGATGCCATCCACGGGGGCGAGGAATTTTCCTCTATATGGGGCTCCATTACATGTCCTTACTGGTGGCTATTCTCTAGTGGCCCTGTCAAGCCTCCACCCCTTCCCACCACCACCATTAAGGGGGCCCTCATGGCAAAAAGGAGCCCCCCCTCCTCTTGCCCTTCTTGCTACAGATGTGGGGGCACCACATGTAGTGGCATTGGCAATCAATCACCAAGTTCCCATTGGCTAGCGTGGATGGATGCAGTTTGGATGAATGATTTGTTTTGGGGTACGGACAGGAGAGAAGGTCAATGTGGTTGTTTGAGGAGGAGAGAGGAGAGTAGCTCCTGAACCTGGGAAACGGCAAAGTTGTACCCTAATTACGGAACAGTTGTGCTCACACTAGGGCTGTCTCTCTCTCTCTAGCCCCGCCCCCCCATACAAAATGCAAAAGGGAAGCACAAGGCCATATGTTTGGGAAAATCAGGTGCAAGTTAGTTACACATGTAGTAGTTGGGGCACTTTCCCAAGGACACACACACTTACACACACTCATTCGCTTCCTTTATTTTTTTATTTTTATTTATTTTTCTACTTGTCTCTGTCCATTTCCTCACCACCTCACCCTAATGAGCACAACCCATCAATTTTTTTTCTTTCTCCATGAGCAAAAAAACAAAAAAAATACAAGAACAAAGGGACTCTAAACCCTAAATAGTGAATGTGTTTTGTGGTGCATTGTGGGATTGGTTAGGGTTTGCTCAGGGATGCTGCATTTGCTACAGTTTCTCTCTACAGAACTAGTTCCCAGCCCTTTATTTTTTGATTTTTTTGTCATATTATAGTTGTCAGCTCTTGCTTGGTTTTTCTCTGTTCCTGTGTGAAACTTTGACTGAAATGTATATTCAAAGTAAATTGGGAAATAGTGAGATGAGTGTTGTGGGTGAAAATGTTGGAATAGGTGCTAGAAATTCATACTTCAGTCAACTTAAATCTCAGTTGAAACTATTAGAAATGATCATTTTCTAATTAATTGTGTGATTTAAAAATGATTGTATTTTATTGTTTTTGTCTTAAAATTTTCTAGTTAGCTCATGCATACTTTTGTTAATGTAGTAAATAGGTATTACAAACTTTTGCAAATTGATCTCAAACTGTTGTGTAAGCTGGTGTATTTGAAAAACCATGAACATGACTAACATTTAAGAAGCATTTTAAAGTAATTAATAGTTTATAATTTGAAGTTAGAAATATTGCAAATATAGAGCTTGATTCCTTTTAAACTCCCTACGTTAATGTCTTTTCAAAATATCTTAAAATGTTGAAAAGTATTTCAAGACTTTTAAATTTGTACAAAGTTAAAAAAAAATTGGTCTTACTAAATATTGGACTTAGTATAAC